TGATCTAAGATGCGTTGGAAATCTAACAAAAAGATCTATAACTTCCCATTAGCGCTTCACTCTGTTTGTTTACATGTCACCTTCCACTGTCGTGCCTATGCGCGTCAGTGTTCCTTTGCTTATTTTAGCTTTGGATGATCCTCTTTGACTTAGATAATGAGCTTCATACCTATAGGCATTTTTAGACGCCTACAAGGATGACTTAAGTTATTTTCATTAGCTACAATATATCATTTTTATTGATTTATTTTTCTTGTATAAGATTTGATTATTCATGAGTTCAGAAATTAAATCTGAAAATGGAAGAGAGAGTTATTTATTTTACACATAATTGGAGAGTAGTTTTCTATTATTTATTAGTTTTTATAAATTTTTATTTTGTCATAAGTAAATTTATATTCACCAAAATGTACTACTTTAATTGTAGAAATCCTATGTCGCATTGTTTCATCCTTTGAAATTGAGATCGAAGGTGATGATTTAAAATTTTAACTCTCTAATTACACCTTAATTGTAGATGATCCAAATCCATTGTTATTATCTTAATTAGCCATCTAAGGTATGATGTAACATAATGTAGACGGTAAAAATTACCTCCGCAAACTTATACATGAATTCGCCCGTGAGTCAGAATCGCCCACTCAAATTAAGGGCGGGGTTCACCCATATGTTGGACTCACTAGCGCAAACCCAAATCGCGCGAGCTCCAAATTCGTCCGCGGTTGTTCATCCAGATTCGCCAGCATGATTGACTCGCCCGCACGAGTCAAGATCATCTGAATCCGCCTGCTCGCTCGACTCGCCCACACAAGTCGAGAGTCGAATTCGTACCCAACAGGCGCTACGCTGCGTACAGGGATGAGTCTTCCCACTTTCCACGACGTGAAGGGATGGAGCACAGTACTCCAAGCCCATCAAGTAGCCGCTCGTAGTACGAGCTACCAGTCAAATCCATGCAGTCGCCAAATCCGCCTGCACGCTCACGATTGAAGCTCACCTCGCCTGCACGAGTTAAGAGCTGAATCCGCCTACAAACAGCAAGTCGGCTAGACCCACTTGAGTACTTGACAGCCGCTACGCTGCGTACAGGGATAGGTCTTCCCACTTCCCTCACGACGTGAAGGGAAGGAGCACAGTACTCCAAGCCCATCAAGTAGCTACTCACAGTACGAGTGACCGGTCAGTCGCCAAGTCCGTTTGTAGAAAGATTGCCTCGCCTGCATGAGTCAAGAGTTGAATCCGCCTACAAATGGTAAGTCGGCTAGACCCACTCGAGTACGGGGCAGCCGCAACCCCACTCATCACGACGTGAAAGGAAGGAGTACAATACTCCGAACCCATCAAGCAGCCGCTCACAGTACAAACCCAAGACATGGTCATATCCCATGATTCAAGGAGCGGTCACGTCGCCTCTCCTCTATTTAAGAACCTCTCCTGGCTACAAGAAAGGGGTTCGTTCGTTCGTTCATAGTTAATTGATTAATTCAATCATTTAACCGAACCACTAGCTCTCGACTCTCAACAGAGTTGACGACACGCTCTTTGCATAATCTTTGCACTGCAGCATCTTTTCCCAGTTTCAGGCCCTGATCGCCGTCAAACTCGGAGACTCGAACTCCATCGATCCGCGCTTCTACTGCGTACTGAAGCTCGCCAGCAACCTCAGTCGAATAGTCCAAGGGAAGCAGACTCGGTGCGAGAACCGAGCGAAGCGTCCTATAGCTACCGAAAGTCCCCACGTTAAATAAGGAGGGCATTCCCTCCGCTTCTGTTGTAATTTCGATTCATTAGTTTGTAATAAGCTGTTCTTATAAATACAAACGAAATCCCTATTTCGGGAGATCAAAATTTACACCTACACATAAACACTAACATATTCTTCAAATTACTATTAATATCTATATGAAAATTAAAATATGGGTAAATTGACACTAAAGCTCCAATAAGATTGGGCATAGACACTAAACTCCTACTACCTTTCAAACTCTCACTAAACCCCTAATAACTTTTAGCACAAAGCTTCCAAATTAATAATGTTAGTAATGTATGGTCAAATTACCAAAATATGTTGGAAGGAAATACCCAATAACTTTTAGTTTTTTGGTAGTTCTTTGTAAAAATTTTTTAACTTTTTAAGGGTCTTCTTACAATTTTTAGATGTTTTTTAGAAGTTTTTTTGCAATTTTAGATTTTTTGAGGGTTTGTTTATAATTTTCATATTTTAAAGGGATTATTTGTAGTTTTGGAGTTTTAAGGGGGTCGTCTATAATTTTTAGAATTTAAAGTGGATGATTTATAATTTTTAGATTTTCAGATGGATCTCTATAAATTTTCGAATTTAAATGGGGTTTTGTGACTTTCATATTTTTCAAGGGGTTGTTTGTAGTTTCATATTTATTAGAGGTCTATTTATAATTTTTGTAATCTTAATAATTGTTTGTAAATTTATGGGCTAATCTACAAATATAAAGATTTGAGGGGTATATGTTGGACTTGGGGGATAATGTTCATTAGTTTAAAAATTATGAGGTAATGTCTTTATAGGGTTAAGTGCAAAAAATAAAATATTTTGGTGGTTTTCTAAAATTCTGAAGCTTATTGGGGGGCTTCAAAAAAATTGCAGGTTTAGTATCAAATGACTAAACTTATTGAAGATTTAGTAGAATTTATCTTTTAAAAAATTAAGGAGATCCTTATGATATTTTTTTTAAAAATGCAAATCTAATAGTAAAATATTAAACCCTCCTTTATATATAAAAGAACAATGAAATTATAAATACAATTATTAGAATTTTTTTATTATGGATAAATAAAGAAAAATAAAAATATGATTATTTAAAAATTTTAATTTACGGATAAATATGTTTTTTAAGATTACCAAATATTTAATTATAATTAGAATTTTTTAATTTTAGATAGATTTAAGTTGATAAGGATTCTAATTACGAACGTAAAATACTCATTATACAAGAATTCTAATTTAATGTTAGAATAGCATATGATACGTGTGACGTGTCCTTATTTATGCATTTAGGTACCGCTGCTTGGTGTCTTTAGTAGTATCATCAATTTCTCTCTATATATAAAGGAGGGATATAAGCCCTTGGAATCTAAGAACATGTTAATGTCGTCATTTTTTCTTAAGCTATAGTTCTTGTTAGATATTGGTTACATTTATAGTTAAGATTGGGCTAAAATTAGAGTTATGTTTAGAGTTATAACGAAGGTTATTGACTGTTAGGAGTTATACAATGATGCTTAAGTTGGTGATCTTTGTTATAACCCTAACCCTAACTAAAAACTCTATCATGTTCCTAACACTAGCTAACATCCTGAAGAACTCCAAATCAACAAAATGAAGATACAATGTTATTGTTGCTTATATGGTTACAATCAGTAACCTCAATATTACCTGCATAGGTACGTGCATTCAGGATCGTCCTGTGTAATTATATCATATCTCAAGGTATCGCAGTGTACTTAATAAAAAGGGAACTAACAGAGGTGGATGGAGAAATAAAACAAAGTTTTGAAGTTGCTAGGTTGAGAGGAAGTAGAGGTAGAGAGGTTAATGTTAATATTAGATTTATGTATTTCCCCTCATTTGGATAGCAACATTGCAACTACAAAGTTAAGTAAACTTGGAATCCACAAAATTTACAACAAATATTACAGATAGTTTAGTGTAAACAAGATTTAAAACTTTTCTTAAAAAGGAAATCTGAAAAATACAAAGATGGGTGCATCGCATGAAAAATAATTTTCCGGTTTAACCTGGAGAAAGTCATCTCTTATATTATAAATAATGTTGCTTTATAAAAAAAATTGCGCCATATTGTAGATTTCTTACAATTAACTAGTTATAGTACTTGTTTCCTTTTAATAGAGAAGGTGCCATCCAATTTTTTATCTTTTTCTAGTGCATGCACATAATATTTCTGTAAAGTAAGAGGTTGTTTGGTTGGTTTCCTAAAAATCAAGAAAAGAAAAAGGATATATGAAAATCAATAAAATATTATTTTCATCAATTTCCATCCCTAAAACTCATCACAACATCCAATAAAATATTATTTTTATCCCACAACTCATTTCATATCATCTCTTAAAAATAAACCAAACACAAGAAATGAGTTACATCATCCAACTCATCTCATCTCCATCACATCTCATCTTTAAAAATCACTCACATCATCCAATAATATTGTGACAACTCATCTCATCTCATTAACATTTTATTTCCACCAATTTTCTCCAAAAAACTAGAAAAAATTTACTAAAGTGTGGGTCACATCATCCAATAATATAATGATAACTCATCTCGTCTCATCTATTTTTTTATTTTTATAAATGAACTAAACACAAGAAAAGAACCTATTACAGGAAATAAATTTCTTATAATTTATTTACTTATTCTTTTAACCAACCAAACAACCTCAAAACAAATTTTCTTAAAAAATCACACAATCATCCAATAATAATGTGACAACTCATCTCTCATTCTTTGATTTCCTTCTTTTTTTAGCCAACCAAACAATCTCAAAATAATTTTTCTTAGAAATAGGTTTCATATTCTTTGATTTCCCTCCTTTTTTAGGCAAACAAACCGCCCCTAAGAAAAAAATTTGAAGAAAAGAAAGAATAGTGAAAATTCTCTCTATCTCTCAAAAAAAAAGATAGTTAATTTCATTTCTTAAAAAAGCAACCATTGAATAGATTCAATCCCTAGCTAATTTTATTTCTTAAAAAAGCAACCATTGAATAGATTCAATCCCTGGCTAATTTCATTTCTTAAAAAAAGCAACCATTGAATAGATTCAATCCCTCAGAGGCTTAGAAACCAGGACATCCACGTGTACACCGCATTTGAACAAAGGCTTCGAGACGAACAACGAAATTACTCAAAAGCCCCTCGTCTCCGAGCCGAACAAACGAACGTACAAGGACATTTAAGTAACTGACCAGCGTCTTCACTGCGTTCGCTCCAGAAAAATTAACAAAAGGGTAAAGAACAATAAAGGCGAGCTTGAAGGTCTCTTTCTCGAAAATCCCCCTCAAAAATTTCAATCCTTTTGGTCCTAAATCGCATGAATTTTCTTGAACTTTAGGTATTCTACTTACTCTGTACTTTAATTTCTGCGATTATTTACGGATAATTTCATTTTCAGTTCTCAATCTATCATCAAATTTAGTATCACCAGTTGTTGAAAGATTTTTGATCTTCATTTGAACTTGTAATGCGCGCTTGATGATGTCGAAATCATTCAGAAGGCTGTGCTTTATTCCGTAAAATATTGTGATGATGGAAGTTTAAAGTGGAGAGATGTTGGTTCTCATCGATTTTTTTAAATGAATTTTACTTTATACTTGATTAACTTATAATTTTAATTTGGGGGGTTTGACTTTGTTCTTCAAATCGATGGGAATGAGAAGCTGGTGTGCTTAAAAAGTAGTGGTAGTGAAGGTCTTGTATTGCTTAATTATACATTGAGGCTGGAGAAGATGATAATAGAATGAGGAAATTAGAGAATATGGTCAGCACCTAATCGTTGAAATTTTTTTGGTCTAATTAGTATTGAGCTGCATGGAGCAATTTGGAGTTCTATCCAAGCAATCCAATTAATGTGGATTAACATAGACGGGGGATTTACATCAGTTCATAGTGGTCATGTTAGAAAGAGCCTGCAAACTACAGTTTAGATAGTTTAGTGCTAAGAAAATCAACTACAGAGATCCATTTCATGTTTACTCAACAATAATGGATATAAAGTAAGAATAAAGAGCACTTTTATCTTATATCACAGCGAGAAATATCAAAGATTGTTAGAGCTTCCGAGGAGGTCAAGCGGGTAATTTGGTGACAGTATAATAGGCATACGAAGTAAGGCGAAGGCCTTTAAACTTTAAACACTGAGTATCAAGTGGAGGATTGATGACTAGTGGAGCTGATGTTCACTATCTTTATATTTTCCAGATTTTCATAGTCAACCAGGACTCCATATCATTGAAAATGTTACAGAAGTTAAAAAACCATTTCACATTTGGAATGCATTGTTTCCCCCTTCTTTTGCTAGTCATTGAAACTTATAGTGGGTTTATTTGAACAATTGCATTAACCTGACAAGTGGTATGAAAAATTCTTTTGACGGCCTCTATGTAATTAGAGACAGATGTTAAGCAGGATTATAAATAAAACCCATTGTTATGTCTTTTCAAATATGAATTACAGTGGCGACACTTAGTAAGTCTTGTAGACCCAAGTGGCTACTCACTCACCTATTTTGCATAGTGAATTTCTAGTTTCGAGGTTGGTTATGATCTTTTACCATGAAATGTGTACGAACTTATTTAGATTGCAATAGAGCTATTTGTATCTGTTAACCACCTGGCAGCTTTTCATGTCTAATTTATGATATTACCGGGTTCCCATACTTGATTTTTCTCCTGGGTATTGCAGATATTGAGATTTTGGCTGTGAGATAGATCAATTGACTGCACAATGGTGGGCAATGAAGTGGTGATAACATACAAGCGCAAGCGTTTCTCCTCTCAGTCAGATCTCATCCATGGGGCCAAAGTGTTGAAGTCATTTACTAGGTCTCCTACCAGGGTGTCTTCAAGAAGATCATGTCCAAAAGGAGGGTTTGAAACCTGCAACGAGAAGCTTAAAAAAGATTCTTCGGTGAGCTTGCTAGTCTAGGAGGCTTTTATATCTAAGACACACTAAGATTTGTCTAGCAATCGATTTCCTGTGAAACTTACAATTGTCACTGGTATCATATTCTTAGGTTAGTTGTAGTTCAGCTGTCCTGCTGCAAGAAGAATTTTGTTAATTGCTTTATGAACTTATTGTACCGTGAGGTTGTCATTTTTACACAGCAGTTAACCAGCATTATGTTCAGTAGCATGTGACCATGATGTTGTCCCAAGTGCCTTAGCTTATGGCTCACCCAACATTTCAGAAATCTGTCTTTCTTCGTGTCATGCTATGATGTCGCCATGGCAAACAAAATGTAAATCCATGAAAAGATTCAATGCAGGTAAAAGGGCCAGGAAATGTTGATTATAATTTATACCCTGTACAGTGCGCATGTTTATTTTATTAACCGCAAAGTGTTTTGAATGTTTAAAGTGCATTTATTATGCATTCAACCAACTAACTTCATTGTAGAAATGCTTGTTGCTTATAGTGTTGTGCACTGTACAAATAAAACCAAAGCAAGCACATACCATCATATACCCAAAGGACAAGCTTCTGTGACTACTTAGGGTCATAAGCTTCATTGATAATGTTTTCCTTTTACAAGCCACATGTTTAGTGTGTAATAAACAGGTGACTCTAGTAGATCAAATGACTATGATTTGTCATAAATTAGTGACTCTTTGTAGAAAAAATGATTGAAATTCTCGGTCATTCCCGTGAACTGTTTTCATGGTAATCTGTATGCTTTGGTACTGTGTTGTAGGTTGTCAGCAGCAACATTTATAACGAGTAACATCAAACATTGTTGTAAGCTGAACTTGATGATATTCTAAATGATGTTTTAGGTATATATTGTCTCCTAGTGGAATCTTTATTTTTCATCAATTTGTAGGGCATTAAGTTTTATCTTCTTTCTTAACATTCATGCGCTTTTTCTACCTAATTCACTATTCTCATAATTATGGTATTAGACGGATATCGAGGTGGATAAGTTAAAATTAAATATTAAGAGACCTTCTCACTTCAATTACACTATCAGTAGTTTTATGGTTCTTGATTGGACAGTGACACTGTCTTCTAATGGAATTAGTTTGTGCTGCTGCTAGTAGTCTCATAATTACAGTACATCATCACCTCTATCCACTGACATGGGCTCAGACATGGAGGTAGACTTCTTGTTGAGAAGGTTCCATAGATAGCCATAGACGACATGAATAACTTTTAGACCGGATATGAACCTAGTTGTCAACTCTAATTTGGTGTGATTTCTAGCTAATAAAGCTCAAGCAGGATTGGGGGATTACCACAGACTCCAGTTCGCCAGATACCATGTAAGATATGTCTAGCACAAATATCATATTCCTCAAAATTATTAATCTTTTCCTCTTTGCAAACATCTAAACGCTAATGTATAGATAAAATGGCAATATGATCAGCCTTAACTCATTAAATTTGTTTAGGAAAACGCCATCAGAAGTATACTGGCAGAAATACATACATCAACATGGTTATGTTTGATGATCATACTTGATTGAAAATGTTGTCATGTAGATAGAAGATACGTTCACCGTGTCGCTAACAATATGCCATTGTAACTTACCAAAAATTTTATTCTGTATGTGATGGCCTTTGTGAGGCATGCCATCTATCTTATGGATGATATTGGTAGTAGTTAATCATAATAAGCCTAAGAATGCATAACCTGGCAGTTGATATTCTTCTAAATGCTATAATTTAATTTCCGCTTGATGTTTTTAATCATCAAATCAAAAAACCAACTCTTTCTCAGACAGGGACGTTCATCTATTAATTTTATTGCAATGTCATGAACACACCCTACATAGCTGAATAAAATCTATATAAGAAAATTATAATATAGACAATGTTGTGGGTTTGGATCAAGATGGATTGACGTTATATTTGGGTTGACCCAAGATGGAGGAAAACATTACCTGGACATGACAGGGATATTGCTCAGAATATAGCATATTTCAAGATGGAATAGGGCGCTGAGCAATACTTACATCTTCCAATGCTTATATGATAACTGATTGCAAGCTGAGGTAACTGGTGAAGTATGGTGAATGATTTGAGAACAAAAGTGCTTTTGTGGGAGCAGCACCTTGCATTTCTGTCAATGCTTTTATCTTGTCTCTCTTTTACTGAAATTTTGGCCTAAGATGTAGAAATAGTCTGAATTTACTTTAATAGTTTGAATAACTAGGCAATTGATATATAGTTATGTACCAATACAGCAATAACAGTTTGCTAGGACCGAATTCATGTATACTAGAAAACTAGATGCTAATAAATGTTTTAATAACTGCTTTTATCTCACCCCTTTTTCCATTCATTGCTGTTAGAAAACTAGATGCTAATAAATGTTTTAATAACTGCTTTTATCTCACCCCTTTTTCCATTCATTGCTGTATTGACTGTAGTAAATGCCATAACTGCCTGTCTCTTCTTGCTCTATAGCAGCGATGCTTTAAATGCGGCAATTTCGATTCTGATGAAAACCTGCTGCACTGTGGATGTTGCTCTGAAACGCATCATTTTCATTGCATGGACACCCTTCAGGAGGTTATATTCTATAATATTTATTAAGTGTTTGATATTGAAGATCAATTTTTACTGTAAATATAAAAGTCTTCAAGCTGATAGATTTTTTTTATCTTATGTCTATCTGAAGTCTGTTCCTCAGAGAAAATGGCAATGCCCAACTTGTCACAGAAGAAATGATTCCAAAGAGTCTCAGCACTGTGATGTAGATTCCAGAGGAGGAATAAAAAGTAAAGGAATCGAGAAATCTGAGATGGTGCCTGTAGAACTTCATTCACAAAAACTGTTGTTAAGCACCAAAGTTTCTGAGGTCCTCCCTAGGAAAACAAGCTCTTCTGCTGATGATTCTTCTCTTAAGGAAGAAACAGATTCTATTCAATTGGATTGTATAGATGAAAACAGTCCAATATCTCCATCACTGAATCAGAGTGATATAAAATCAAATCCTATAATTTTGAATTCCTCTAGCAAAGTAAAATATAGTTCTGGATCCTCTGAGGCTTCTACTACGAAACTAAATTCAGATAAAACTAATGAATGCCCAAAGGAAAAATGCAAGGCTCCTTTGATTACATTTAGCAGAAGAGTGAAAAGGAAGCGGGAAGGAACTGAGAAATATGCTGAAGGAAAACCAAAGTCAGAGGAGGAACAGTGTTCACCCGCCAGGAGAGGTAAACTCATTGAAGGTTCAACCCTAATTTCCAGTTCCAAGGAGCAGTCACCTAGTGCAGCTGTTTTACTAGAACAAGCCGAGGTAAACTCATTAAATTTACTTCTCCAGGATGTAATTTCTTTGGCTTAGTCATTTGAGGAGGCATCTCTATGTGGCAGATTCGTACTCAGATTCATGATGCTGTTGTTCTTCCTTTTGAAATGGTTAATTATTAAGCTCTTTATATCTTGTGCGGTGCATACACATTTTTGGTTTCAGCCTACCTGATCTGTAAATAGATTCTGGTAACTAGACTAGGGGACCGATCTAGTTTTCCTTGTTGGTTTAGAGCATGTTCTGTTAAAGAAGAAGCAAAAAAGAACGAAAATAGCATATGAATTAGAACCTTGATAACATTACTGAATAGCATACAGTACATATGACCATTGAAAAGGAAAAATACAAAATAAGGCTTGCTATTGAAATATTTTATTGTTTTGATAATGCTAATGTGGTACAACTGATGTCTAATTTGCATAATCTCATCAATGTCATCTAAAGTGTTTCCATTAAACTGGGGTTGGTCATGTAGCACCATGGCTTGTGAAAGATTGGACAGGTTCTTTTTAATAGGCTGACAATCTGATGTGAATCCCTCTAATTGGCCTGAATCTTTGTAGCAGAGAGGAGGTTGCAAATTTGCAATGTATCCTAGATGCCAGTTGAATGTAGCCAAACCTACCTTTTGGGTTATGCAAGTTAACTAGTGCAACCAAGGAGCAAGTGTTTGCAAAGGCATTGCTGATGCAGCACGTGTATTGTCATAGATATAAGTATAACATAATCAGTTGACAACAATGTTGACAGCAGTGGCTCTTGGTATGTGTAACTGTAATGCAGGGTTAACTTCTTTCTCCTTGTGCTTTACACATTCTTGTTCTTGAATCTCAAACTGGAAAATGTAGGTTTCCAAACAAGTAAATAAAGTGACCTGACAGTTGAAGTGGTCAAATCAGTGTAAGCTTGGTTATTCAAGCAAATGCATACAATGTTCTCTCCAAGAATTATTTCACTAGTGTTACACGTGGTTTGGAGTCATATTAAAAAAAGCTTATTTTGTCTTCTCTATACCGTCTTCAGTTGCATTAGGACTTTGTTCGCTTGGAATATGATTCTTAATTTAGCATGAGATTTCATCAGGGATTAGATCAAGAAGAAATAGCAGGAAGGATGTTCTGTAAAACATATGCATCTGTCATAGGTGCACTCCCTTTCCGTTAAATATTCGGAAAGCAGATCTTTTCATCTCCGCATAACAACTCTTAATTGCTTGCAAATACTCGTGAATGACTATCAATAAATCTGTATGTCACCTTTGTGGATGCTTAATAAATATTTTAAGCGACGAGTCAGTTGAAACTTTTCAGGTTCCTACTGATGTTTATTTTTTTCTGTATTACAAATTAAGCTGAGCGGATACTTTTTTTGTGTCAATATGCTTGACAGGTGGCAAACGTTGCTAATGGTGCTGGGTTCAAATCCGGGGCTGATGGAGATTTTGGAGAAATTAAGATGTAAATATTTGCTGCTTTATTGCTCTTATGCTACTTGTTTAATATGCTAGAACTGTAACATCCATTCGGAACTGTAACAGTGCTGGTGACAGGCCTGAGGAACTTCCATCTCATAGTTTACAGGACGCAAGTATTACAAGTCAGAATCCAGTGCCTCCAGGACCAGCAACAGACATTTGCTACTCTGAAGGTCAATCAAACAAATCCATGGTAGCAGCTGAAACAGTTCTCATAAAAAATTCCATCTCAATTCAGGACACCAAAATTGGTAGTCCTGTCAGAGAGAAATCCCCAAATGACCATCCTTGTAAACAGCCATCTTCTGTTGAATTACCTGCAGCTACTTGTGTGAGCAATGCAGAATCAAGTAAACCTTTGTTTAATGTTGCGGTAGAGAATCTTCTGGAGTCTCTAAGTTCATCTACTTCAAGTTTTCCCATAGCACCACTGGATGAGGAAACTGATGGAAGGGTAAAGGAACTTGAATGGTTGGAAGACCTTAATAGAGTATTGCAGGACAAACAAAAGAACAGAGGAACAAGCTCATTTATGGAGCATGGCATTGACTGCGAGCTGGCATCTCAATCAAGGGTTTTCAGTGCAGCCCCAGTGAAATCAGCTGTACAGGGTACATGTAATCAGGTTGGTTAGCTCTAAAGACTTCAACCTTTTTCTTCTGTGCAATGTGCATTTTGATTACTGTTTAGGCTTTCTTGCAAGTGATTTGAAATTATGAGGCTGAAGGTTCAGATCCTAGCTGAACTTTGAAAGAACAAAGAAATTGCAATGTAGTAACTGACAAAAACACATAATTATTGTCAGCATCATCCAGTCTTCTCTCATGAAAACGGGATCTTCTGCAGAATATAATTTCCTAGCCAAATTACTAAAAAGGCCAGTTATTTTGACGGCCAACCTAGACTTGAAGAAAATTGGTGAGGCGTCTTACTCAAGTGCCCCTCGAACCGCGCGAAATGGTCACCTATTACACGGCTCACAAACTCTGCCTGGGGTGGGGGTACCTATTATTCGTCGGCATCTCAGCCATGTTTCAGAAAAAAGAGTTCAATAAATTTTTTACTAAATGGAGGTTTGTAAAATGAGTCCTATTCTTAATCTTGACTACGAGAATCTTAAAGAAGTATGTATGAGCAAGAGAGGGCCCTGCTGGAAACCTTGATGGCTAACCTATAGCTTTGATTATTCAGGTTAAGCTCATGCAACCAAAGAGCAATTGGTTTCATCTAGGGCGGATAAGCATTTGGGGTAAGAGTAAGAGAGAAACAAAACATTGATTTTTGCTAATAGAACAACATCCATTTTATGACACAAGATTAACTTAAGAACCCAATGAAATCATATGTTCCTAAGCTACTATGAATTGAAAGGGCAAAAGATGTTTTTTCTTCCTCTTTTTATCTATAAGGAGAAGAGGAAAGTTGGACCCATGCTGATCTGTTGCAAATTCATATATTACTTATATAAACTTTCAAAGATCTTTCTTTTTATGGTATGATTCATTGTAATTTGAATGTTTCATCATATTGCAGGGTGCATTTCCTGAGTACATGAATCAGATAACCCCAGAGCTGGAGAAATCATTTCTGACAAAGTTAAGAGACCCAAGCTGTGAAAACCAACACCATGAAGAAAGTTCAAGCAGATCTTGCCATCTTACTAACTTTCTTGGCCCTTCGCTGCCTCTGAATCATCGAGGAAATGTTGTTAATGACCATCTTCATGTACCCAGCAGGCATTTTCCATGTCATGCATCCAATGAAAATTCAGTTTTCCTAAGGGAAAAGCAGATGCTTGAAGATGGTTTGAGTGGCACAAAGATGTTGAGAGAAAGGCAATTTTCTGCTATGGACATGATTAGGAGGTATTCAAGTGAGTGGTCAGAAGAAGAGCTAGATTTCCTCTGGATTGGAGTCAGAAGATATGGGGTAAATAATTGGTATGCTATGTTAAGGGACCCGAAACTGCAATTTTCAGAATTAAGGGTTGCAGAAGACTTGGCGTTTCAGTGGGATATTGAGCAAAGAAAGCTTTTGCATGGAAGTCCACCGCAGCCATTGGGATTCCCTAGAGCAGATCGATATGGTGGCAGAGGGTGGCTTCATGGTTCAGAATTTCCGATGCTTGCCAACGAGACTAAGCTCTCTCTTGGAGATGTATATCACCAGAAAAGAAACTTGTTTCATTCTTCAGGTGTGGGCATAGCCAATCAACTGCCTAAGTCTTTTCTTAATAACTTACCAGTGGGTTCTGTGTTTGCCAGAGCTGCTATCAGGCACCAGATGCCTATGAGAACCCAAAATAAAATGCATGATTGGGGATCATCTATGCCTCAACCAGGTGAAACATTAATACATGAATCATCAACGAACAATACTCTCCCACATTGGTTGAAAGAAGTTATTAATGATAGTGGTCTCAAGCCAAGGGGATCGTCACTGCCTCCAGTTTTTCCAAGCACTGCAAATTATATAGGCCTGCTCAATGATGACTCACAAGAGCCATCTGCTCGAGCTAAAGATCATCGGAGGCGAGGAATTTTAAAAAGGAAGAGTGTTAAGAACGTTGGCTTGAGAATTGATCCAGAAAAGAATCTTGAGCAAGCTGCATCGGATATAATAATTAGTCCAGAAAAGAACAGTGTACCTAATTTTAACATAAATATTACAGGTCCTTCAGGACCAAGTGATTTGGTGATCATTGATAGCGATGCATCGTCGGAGGAAACAATATCAGATGATGAAGGCAGGAGAAATAGCTAATTCGGTAAGAAATAATGAAAACTGCAATGTATTGAAGTTTGTACAGGATTTTTGTATGGGCCTGTGCAGTTTTGTTGTATATTGATGAACTCGTGATGGTGTAACCCTCAATGTACTCATCCTTGACCGATATCCCCTCTCTGTCGAGTAGTTTATGATAATACCAAAATGGAGCAGCTTTATGCTCTTGATAATCTTTGTTCTTTGAATAATGTGTGAATGCTTGAGCTTGCCAATCTTTTTTAACCCAAAGGAAAATGCGTGTAATCACCATTCACCATTTACCCCTATTGTTGATGTCTTTTGATCTCATTCTTGAAGCGCCGAGAAACTCTTAACCTTCCCTTGCATCTGTATCATGCATTTTAGAGACGTTCAAAAAAAATTTTTTTTTTTTACTCTGTACAGTATTCCTCATCAACTTGTGTCTTCCCTTTGCATATTTATACTTTTCTGATATGCTAATAACACCATGGCCTAATAAAAGGTGAATGGAGAAACTTTGTTCAACATTAGCTATGCTCGAAGATATTCGAGTTTAGTTTAATATGTATATCAATAAATGGAGAAAGTGATTAATAGCTCAGACTAGCAGCAAAATTTGGATAGATGCTTTAACATTACTGGTCTACTGTTGTTATAAGACTAGCGCTGCACAATTACATGGCAAAGCTTATGGAAGATTATCACAAATTCTATTTCCACACACTATCTCAGCTAAATTTTTGCAAACAAGTGTTTATCACTGCAAAATATTGGTTACCAATTATCTTCATGTAAATGATATGTACATCAATAGGAAGGACACTGCAGTAAGCAACGCGAATAACAATGCTTCACAGAACGAACCACCTAGAAATATGATGACGATTATGTTATGCAACAATAAGAACCTCTTTTTTCCTTTACAATTGATGATATACACCAATACTGCTTGATACAGAACTCGAACCAATTTTCGAGATCTCCATACAATCGATAACAAAACAAGCAAAACAAGAGCTCAAGTAAATTGGGATTTTCGCCAAGTGCTAGCATATCTGCATACATGAAATGCAACCATCTATACCGTCCAAATCTCATAGCATCTCATCATCAGGTCTTGAATCCCTTGATCTCTCATCATCAGGTCTTGAATCCCTTGATCTCTCATCATCAGGTCTTGACTCTCTTGATCTCGTAGTTCTTCTCCTTCTCCTAGGCATGAAAATCTCCTCATCATCATCGTGTTCATCGTCCTGCAAACCCAACAGATTTGCTCCCCACAAGTATCTATTAAGCGACGATGAGCGCCTTCGCACCCTCCTCAAGCCTCTTGAAAACGACTCAAATTCATCATGAACCCCAAAAGTCCTATTCATCATATGAAAAAGGAAAAGAGTAGCCAACCATGGTCCACCGTCACTCCCCAACTCTTGATCATGAGTAAGCACATCTTCATCATTGATCGCATAATCCCCGAACATCACAGATCCAGGCATTGCTGATCTGATCGCACTAAGAATGTCGCCATACTCTCTTTCATGTTCTAAGTGATGCCACGCTCGTTGTCTTGATGGATCAACATCTGTAGGCCTAGTAGAAGGGTGGACACTTCTCGCGTGTCTTCGAAGCTCGCCATAGTTTCCTGAAAACGAACATGATTCTCTTGAGCAGCTCCTCGGTCTCGTGTCCAAATATTGCCTTGCTTCCTTAATAACTTGATATCCGATTATAGTTCCTCTGCAAAGAGGACATTTTAAGCTGTTTGTCTCCGTTGTATCTCTGACAGTGATACTTTCTTCTACTTGGGCTCCTAATGAACCTTGAGTACCTTCTGCAGTAATTCTTCTCATTCTTGGCCTCTCAGGAATCTCTATGCTGAAATTTTCAGGAATAGGGAGCTCATGTAAAGAAGAGATGGATTGAGAATGACGATGGTCACTACTGTGATCTAAATTTAACTTTTTGAATCGATCAAGGCAATTAGAATGCCGATAGCTTGTATCACATATGTATGATCTGCAACCTTTTTCATGAGAAGTGCAAATAAGAAGAACAGCATTGTGTGGATGTTCCATACAGATGGGGCAAGAAATATCATCCCATTCCTTTTGTAGCGAATGGATATCAGGATGCAAAGAAGTGCTTCCGTTTGTATCCATCTTCAATGAGCTCTGGTAATTTTTATAGTGTTAGGCAACAAAAATATCACCCTATACACACACACACACAAAGGATTGGCAAAATAACAAATATTAAAGTGGACAAAAGCAATCTTGGACAATGCACAATTTCAATCTATGAATATTAAAAAAGAAGAAAATTCACTGGCTTAGTTCATCTTCTTAGGTTTCTCTAGTCAGTGAATAATCCAGCTATCAAATTCACACTCCCTGTCTCAGTGAAACAAAAGGAAATGCTGAAGAAGGATTTTGCACAACCATAGCACATTTCTGAGTATCCAGTACGCTAACCTGTAAGTTATCCAAATATAGTAAGCTTCTCACACTCTAAAGCTCTCAAATCTACCAACTTAGCTGTGAAGACCTAATAGATACATCTTCAATCATCATTATAACTTCAAATCACAAGATTTTGAAGGTTTTACTGATAATATATATTAAAAATAAGCAACTGCACGATTAAGTTCAACTTTGAACTAGCTCATGTCGAGTATGAGAAAATTTATTTACGATAGTTAAGAGAATCCGCCAAGACTGAATGACTAGCCTTTTAACCACCAACAATAACTTCCTTCCCATGAGGTCACTCATCCTAGTACTATTCGGTCCACTCTGGCTCAGCCCACTTTATTACAGAGCTTTTACCATGGCTCCTCCTTCAACTATTCTAGCTAAAATTAATTCACGAATTGATAGGAACTAGTATAGTTTCATACAAATAAATTCACTATGGCTCTCCTTTTGGATTCCGCCTTAGAAAATGTTACTATAATTAACTCCTTCTGGGTTATGGCAAGATTCTTTATTTGCATCCAGTGGATCCAGCCACTTAAGATAATGTTTTTATTTACCAAAACAATGGATAAACTTCATTTCTGCTTTCTTCATAATCCTGACCACCCTTGATGACAAGTTCAGTAAATCAATGCAGTTATGACCAATACTCCAACATAATTGGCGATCACATTTTGCTCTCCAAAACTTCCCTTCTAGTAGGCAGGTTATTTGGAAATTTGCTAGTCATATCAATTTATAACTCCCTGCAAGTCACAACAAGTAACAAGCAGGCTCTTCAACTGAATGCCATGAATCATTCAAACTCTGCAAGCAAGATGTCAGTCATGTGCAATATATTCATATGATCTAATTTGAATTTGAATGAATGAAGTTCCCAATAGAGACATCCCCCAAATGTGATTAATTTAGCACACAAATGATGGCATTTTATCTATCTGTCATACACAATGTCTATAAAGTACTTAGATTAATTTTTTAATGAGTGTCATCTATTCTAAACATAAAACTGCTTGACACAATCAATAAGGAATTACGAGCACAAGCAAACACCTATAATTCACTTCTTTGATCTTCTTCTTCTCCTTTTTTTTAAGATAATGGATGGCGTTCTTGCTTATGAACCTCAGCAGCTACTTCTTTAATCTTCTATCTTTGGAAAATACAATAATGTGTTCGGAAAATAAAAGAATGTGATGTTGAGAGATGATATCAGACCTTGGCTTCTAGGATTTTCTCCATACATAACGTGATCCCTCTGCAAGAACAAGAAAATAAAATAAAATCCTCGGATGATAACAAAACCTCCAAATCCATAACAAGTTTTCAGACAATACAAAATAAAATAGAGCCAACATGTACTTAAGCCATCTCATAAGTTATGAAACAAAAATGAGTGTCATCTAAAATAAATACTGGGATATTTCATAGATCAAGTAGAACACAAACATTTATGATCATTAACCTGCAAACCTCGGCATGATGTCATAAATATAAGTAAACCGTGATTACAGCTTAAATCATTAGTCTGGGAGGAGCAAGTTGACATCTTTCTCCAATTACATCACTTTCACCCTAGAACCTAACTAAAAATATCAAATTTGAAGACATCCAAAAAAAAAGTTGAGATCTTTTCGCAAATTTAATAACTTACAGTTCAAAACCCTAGATAACCCATCTGAATCAATCCGATCGCAAGCAAAAAAAAAAAACCAAATCTTAAGGAGAAAACTATTTCGCAGATCTACGCTGCAAACCCCAATATTTTAAAGAAAAGGTAACACAAGAGACAAAGGAGCGATTTTTACGGCGAATGATTCATGAGCTCGAGATATTTCTTTTTGTTCTACCTTTCTTTTTCTCTCTCCTTCTCTTTTTTCTGGGTGGAGAAATTGGGACAGAGATGAGAAAAAGAGGAAGATAAAGAAATAAATTAATTAATTATGTGGTAATAAGTAAGTAATTGCAGCGGAAATTTTGAACTGAGCAGCCTTTCGTTAAATGGCTTTTTGTATACAGTCCTCCATCTTTGTTATTTTGAACTAAGTCCCCCGGATCTTCATACTTCTGAAATTAGTCACCCAAATCCTGAGGTATTTTGAAATTAGTCCATCAAATCTTCATATTTTGAATTAGTCCTTTGAATCTATCAAGTGTTTTGAAATCACTCCCCCAAATCTTTTCAACTCAGTGCTAACTAGATGGACTTATCTCAGAACACTTAAAAGATTTGTGGGACTAAATTTTGGGAACTAAGTTAAAACCACTTAAACATTGGGGGTACAATTTCAAAATATGAGGGACAAATTTTAAAATATGGAGATTTGGGGAACTAATTTCAGAAGAGCAAAGACTTGAGGGACTAGGTTTCAAAATAGCAAAGATTTGGGGACTTACACACACACAGAGAGAGAGAACCCTTATTGAAAATGGTTGTACGTATTTCATGTAGGAAAAGGAACAATTATACTAGATCTCCCCCTTTTTTTTGGTTGGTTTGAAGATGGAACTTCTCATAATCCTTCAAAATGGGTAACAAACCTCCGCACTTGGCTAAAGGTGTAACCCCCAATGCACAAGTTCTTCGTTTGGCAAAGGGTTAATGAAGAGGAGTTAAAGAGAATGATTAATGTACTTAGCCCATTTGATAATCCGAATGACTAAATTATTAATCCGTTAAATAAGTTTTATTTTAGCCCTTATGATCAGTTTTAGTGTTTGGGAATAACAATGATTTTGACTATTTTCTTTATAATTAGAATGGTTAACTCTTATTCCATCTAAATAGGAGTATTAGTAAACCCCTCATTTTGAGGGGTTAAATCATTTTAACCCCTCTAGAGGGGTTAACTTAACCATTCTATATTTTTTATGTTTGATAAATTATGGAGGGTTAACTCACTTTAACCCTTATATAGATTTGTTGTGTTTGGCAGGTTAAGAAGGGGTTAAGTCTCCTTAACCCCTCTCTTAACCCTTTGCCAAACGGTAAGAAATTAATTTTGTATTGATACTTTTCAAGGGAGTCGAATCTAAGATCTCACCTACAACTCAATGTTGTGTTTAAAAAATAATATTTGTTGAGCAAATGAAATAAAAGTATTTGTCATTTTATGTCATTTATATAATTCTTCTAATTCTTATCATAAATTCTGTTAGATTTTTGGAAAAATTGCTTCAAGGTCCCAAAACGCCTCGTGCACTGAAATGATCTAGCCCCAAATAGTTTGGCCCATATGCTAAAGCCCTTAAAAATTAAAAAATATGATTTAACCCTAATAAAGCTCTCTGTACCCGTATTTTGACCCACACACCCGAAAATACCCTTCGCTCTCTCTCTCTCTCTCTCTCTCTCTCTCTCTCTTTCTCTCTCTCTCCTCTCTCTCTCTCTCTCTCTCTCTCTCTCTCTCTCTCTCTCTCTCTCTCTCTCTCTCTCTCTCTACCTCGAAATCCAAATCCGAAGCTGGAGATCGATCGTGGTCGTAATTAATGCGACTTGATGGCGGTTTTGGGGGGGAAAGTTTGGGGGTTTCCCTCCATTATATCTCCTCTTAATCCATTCTTATGTGAATAGAGTTTATTTATGGTGGAAATGACACATTTATGAACTTAGGGTTTATGATCTTCAACCCCCCTCTTGTCCTAACATTCCCTTCATTACTCCTCTTAAATCCCCTTTATTTATGACAGAGAAACATCTGATATTTGCATGGTGTCCTTGGATGAGAAAACAGTGTTCTCAAGGGTAATGTTCAACCTCTCTTTTGAATTCAAGTTTGACGTGGCTGAGAGGTTGAAGGTTCCATATGATGCGTTATCAATGGTGTATAAATCTAAAAGGAACCCTGATCTTAGTTTTGAGATTGAGAATGAGGATGATTTGAAGTGTATGGTGGAGCACAACAGTAATATTGGGTGTCTAGAGATCCATATCCGAGCTACTATAGATGTAGATGTTTTCAAATGTCAGACACTCCGAAGGAACCTCCTGAAACGTAAGTTATCTTTAAATTTTTGAGAAAGTTATGAATTGTGTGAATAAAATGTGGAGAAATGATTAGTATAGAGAACTATTTCAAGTTAAATGTTATATATGACTGATATATGTTAACTATTTAGTACGGCTGTTAAGCTTTACGGTATATGTGTTACTTTTAAATATGTAGAAGTTAACTACTAGCCATCATCGTTATTTTAAGAAAAAAATTTATATTTGTGCAGCATTATGACTACATTGAAGCCCTAGTTTATTGATAGCACTCTTGCCGCAAGTCATAGTTCAGAAAATATTCCTAATGATAATCCCAGTGGTGACAATATAATGCGATCGGATGACATTATTAACAACACGGTAATGATTTCTGCTTGGTGGCACACTGCATTAACTGAAGAGGATCAAGAATTTGAAAGTGCTGATGAATTAAGATTGGCTTTGACATACTATTCTATGGCCAAAATGTTTGATTATGAATTTAAGAAGAGCGAACCAAAACGTATCCATGTTTATTGTCAATATAAAGAAACTTATGAGTGCTCATGGATGTTGTTTGTTTCTCATGTTAAGAATGAAAAGAGACTTTCGATTAAGAAGTTTGTGAATGAACACACATGTGGACAGCATGGGCAAAATGAAGATCGTTCAAGGGCATCCCGTAATTCATTACAACACAGTTGTAACCACTCCTAAAGGTCCGTCCAGAAATCCGCCCTGTTGATGTTCAAAAGGAGTTCCTCATAAACTACGGCCTTAGAATTGATTACAGTAAGATATGATGGGGGGTAAAGAGAGAGCATAATAGAAGCTGTACGGGGATATACATAAGTCGTATGATCAACTATAAAGGTAAAAATTTGAGCTTTATTATTACAATGTTTTTAATGTCTTTTGATTACGATAGTCGCATGTTAAGCCTAACAATTAATATGTGAATGTTACTTAATGCTTGTTAACTTACACCGATAACATGTTAAGTCTATTGTTGTTCATGTTAAGCTACACCCATAACATGTTAAGTTTCATGGTTTGCTTGTTAAAACACATCGATAACATGTTATTTTTTTGCAATTTATTTGGTAAATATCATCGGGAACATGTTAACTTCCGTTGCTCACTTGATTTAAGTTACGCTAATAACATGTTAACTTTTCCAGTTCACTTGTTAAGTTACACTGATAATATGTTAACTTTTGATGGTTGCTTGTTACTTTTCTAGGTATGAACATATGTTAAAAGAGACAAATCTAGGAAGCTATATTCATGTTGAACATAATGAGGGAATGTTTTCAAGACTATTTGTTTGTTACGCTGCATGCATCAATGGTTTCTTGAGTGGATGCAGACCCCTTCTATTTTGGATAGTACTTTTTTAAAGGAACGATATAAAGGTGTACTCCTTTCCGTCATAGTATACGATGAGGACTAATGGATATTTCCCTTAGCGTATTGTATATGTGATTAGGAGAATTTAATAAATTGAAAGTGGTTCCTCCAAGGTCTATGGTCCATACTTTATGAGAGGGCTGACCCTTACAATCCTCCCCACCAATTGGTTATAATTTTGGATGCAGATAAAGAAACTAAAGAATCAGTGAAAGAATATTTTTCAGAAGCTCTACACTCTAGGTGTGTTCTACATCTCGTTGAAAATTTAGGTTAAAGCTAAAGGACTTGCGTATGAAATCGAAGGACACTCATGTTTTGGGGAACTTGCTTCAAGTTGCTTGTTATAAATACACAATAGCAGAATAGAACGATTATATGAAAGAGATACATGATATTGATCCAAGGGCATACAACATTGATGTGAACTACTCTCCTGACCAGTGGGAAAATCCATTCTTTTCGGGAATAAGGTAACGTTATACAACACATTTAGATTTGATGAATTAACAAGGAAGCTTTTTGTCACTGAATTTAAGTTTTGTTTCGTAACTGTTAACTTTTATCACGAAACTGTTAATGTTTACAATATAACCGTTAACTTCCATTCTAGAACTGCTAACTTACAATATATAATTGTTAACTATTAATTGTTCTCTGTTAACTTACATTGTTTAATTGTTAATTGTCAAACTATAACTGTTAACTTACATTGTATAACTGTTAAAGCTCTCCTAATATATTTTCAGGTATGGGCACTTAACATCTAATGTCACTGAGTCTTTTAATAATTGGATATGGGAGGCTAGAATGCTATGAATTTTATAAATAGTTGAGCATATTCGTAAACAAATCATGGTCCGACTGAATAATCGTCGGGTACTTGTAGATAAATGGGGTGGATATCTTTGTCCAAAAGCAGAGATAGTGGTTAAAGAAAATATAAATAAAGGACGTCTATTGGATGTTAAATAGCTGCAAATGTCATATTTGAAAGCAATCCCATAAAACTACACGGGTTGATTTGGAGAATAATACATGCACTTGTCGGGCTTGGGACGTCATGTAAATTCCTTTAAACATGCATGTGCAGTCATCTTGTATATGAAGAGAGACATTTACCAATATTATGATTAGTTTATGTAACAGACATGAATTTTTGATATTACTTAAAATAATTTTTTGGTATTTTAAAATATTTAATTATTATTTTTAAAAGAGTATTTGTATTTTCTTGATTTTCTAGAATTTTCTATAATTTAAAAGTCTAATTTTATAATTATTTAAATGATTTTGATATTTATAAATTAACTTGATGTTGTGAAAACTTTTGAATTAATATCTGTTGTGTTATTATTATTATTACGTATTATTTGTAAATAATTTTCCCCTAATTATTCAATTTTAATCCTTAATTAAATTATTAATTATGTTTAATATTTAAACCCTAACCCTAACCCTAATCCTAACC